GACGTTCAGCGCGGGCTGAGTAAACGGAGCCCGGGGAGAATTCCGCGTCTCCAGCTGGAGTTCCCGAGCCGGTATCGGGGCCACTACCTGAGGACCCCCTATCTCCTGCCAGCCACGGAGCCGGCCAGGCCCGCCCTTTCCATTCGCCTTTGGGGGCGAATGTGATGAGAATTGCGCTTGTGGGGGTGTAGGAACAGATGGACGAGTATTCTGTGTCCTTTGGAGGATTGTCACGCCGGGCGCTGTCCCACAATGCCCTGTGGCCTGTCACACGGGCCACGGTGCATTGTGGGACAGATTCCCTTCGCGGTAGCTGACTGGTGTCTTCCTGTTGGCTTGTTCACGGGGGTGTGACCGGTGGGGGGGGCGGTAGTTCCTCATTCCTGGGGTGTTGCAGTGCCAGGAGGGGTAACGAGAAGGGGGTTGTACTGCACAGGCCTGGTAGATCTCTTCCTTTGGGGAGAGGGAGGAAGGAATCGTTTCCAAAAAACAAACAAACCTAAAAGCGCACCTAAAATGGGTCCAGCTGCCTCCTGGCAGGTTCTCCAGAGCTGTGCTGACCAGCGCGTCCAGTAACGTGCTCTCTGATGTTGGTTTCCGCAGGGCGGGGCGCGCCTGGACCCAGCGGAGCCGAGCAGGCAGACCCTGAGCGTCTCCAGGCCGGACTTTTTTTGTTGTCGTCGCTTAACGGAAGGCGCCGATCGCCCGTCACCGGACAGCAAGCGCTCGGAGAGACCCGCCCCGGCCCGCCGGCTGTGCCCTCGGCGTCTCCCAGCGCAGGAGAGGAAGCCGGTGGCCCCAGCTCTCCGCCGGGGGCCGCTGGGATCCGCGCATTCCCGAAGCAAGCAGGCGCCGGAGTTGGCCCTTTTCCGCCCCCCGGGTGGAGGGGGGGTGGAAGACTTCCGCCTCGTTCGGCACCGCCGGGGGGGGTCGTGAAGCGTCCCCAGGACGAGTCCTCCCGGGCCGAGGGCAGATCCGGGTTGGAGGACATCCTGCTCTTGTCCCAGTAAGGACCTGCAGAGAGGGGCAGCGCGCCGGAGTTGGCCCTCCTCTTATCTGAGCTGCGGAGCTCCAGGAGAGCTCTGTGAAGAACTGCCCACAGAGAGAGAGAGAGAGGGAGGGAGAAGGAGAAGGAGGGAGGGCGGGTAGTGCGAGAGAGCGAGTGCCGCCAGTCAGAGAGAGAGAGAGAGGGAGTCTGGTAACCAAGGACAACTGCAGAAACACTGCACACAGTCAGTCCCACACAGTGACTGGAGGGAAGGCTACATGGGCGCTGAGATTGCAGCAGGAGAGACTCCGGAGATCTGAA